TTTTATATATGTTATATTATAAGGTTTTGCTTGTTAAAGAGGAAGTGATGAGGTGTTTATTATTAAATATCTTATGTCAATTATTTTAAAATATTATATACATAACATGATACATGCTCATATAAATAAAGTTATAAATGTTTATACTCACTGAATAATTACTAACTATAGATAATAGTTTGTTAGTAAATATACTAATACTCTACCCAAATGATTGAATCACAAAATGAGCAAATACTGCCATGCAAGTGTAGATTTGGACGATTACTTATGAGCATTTTTATATATATAAACTTTAGACATATTATGTGGGTATATTTTTAACTTTGATTAGAAGTTATAATTATGTAAATGTGTTAAAATCATTATATACAAGAGGAACCCTATTAATTTATTTAATAAATTAACATATTTTATTTTTAAAAATGTATGTACTTCTATTGATTATACATATAGGATATAGGTAAAAATATGAGTAAAGTGTTATATAAATCTGTCTTTTTTAATCATACATATAGGATATAGGTAAAAATATGAGTAGAGTGTTATATAAATCTGTCTTTTTTAATCCCTACAATTGAACAGATTCAATCCACGAATAAGATGCATTCGACCCATGATTTTAGATAAGTTCAAAGAAATATTATATTATTTAAATTAATAAAAAATGATTAATACTAATATATATCCAAAATATATAAACATTACTTTTAAAATATATGAAATATTTTATAATATAATATAATTTTATAAAAAAACTTAAAATAAAATAAAAACCATAAATTTATCATAAATAAAAGATATAATAATAATTATAAATATATTCAAATTTAAAATATAAAACATAAAGTAAATCGGTAAAATATTAAATATTAATAATAGTGATATATAAAATAATTAATAATAATAATAATATAAACACAAAAATAAAAAATACACTTTATATAGTTATTTTTATTTTAAAATATCATTTTATATCAAACGGAGCCCTCATTATCAAAAAAAGGTTGAGATGAATTAGTTCGGAAGTAAAGTTGAGATGAATTACTTGGGACGTGCATTAAGAGACTTAATGATGCATCGCCATGCATGGAAAGGCCGAGTTCCGTCTGCAACCACGTCAGGAAGCCATTGACTTGGCGAGAAAGGTGGAGCAATGGTTGGAATGCCCTGCGACCGCCCTTCACGCAGCACCCCCAATAAATGGTCAAACCGAAGGAGACCCTGAAACCTCTCCCCGCCATTCTTTTCCGAGGAAGAACACACTGCACTACTATAACTCGTAACCTGCCTTCCCTACCTTAACCTTTCTTTATCTTCCCTCTGCCCGCCAATAAATACATCAAGCAGAGAGGAGGAAGGAGGGAGGAGGGAAGGAAGGAAATCCACGAAACCCCCTGCGATCAATCCCAACCATGTCTGCCTTTCAGGACTTTGGGCCCCTCTCGGAGCGCCGGAGGGCCGAAAGGCAGCAGATTAAGCGGAAGCGCCTCATGATCGCTGGCGCCACCACCTCCGTCGTGCTGGTCCTCGCGGTGGTCGGCGTCGTGGTTCAATACAAAGCCAATGGCCCCAGCGACTCGGGCGATTCTGACGGGTCGAGCGCCTCCGGCGGTTCCGCCTCCAAGCGGGCATTCCACACCAGCTCGGCCATTCAGGTCATGTGTTCGTCGACCGACTACGAGAGTGCCTGCCAGTCGAGCCTGAAGAAATTCGTCAATGAGAGTTCGAAGCCCAAGGACCTGGTGAGGGCAGCCGTCTCCGCCCTCGTCGACGAGGTTGGCATGGCCTTCAACAAGTCCGACTCCATCAAGTCCGACGACCCGTCGGTGAAGGACGCCGTCGGTATCTGCAAGGAGATGCACCGGTACGCCGTGAATGACCTGGCGAAGGTGTTGAGCACCATCGACGCGCACCACCTCGACAAGCTCCCCGAGCAGGTCCACGAGCTGAAGAACTGGCTGAGCGCCGTCGCCGCCTCCCAACAGACGTGCATCGAGGGATTCCCGGAGGGGGACCTGAAAACCAAGATGCAGACTGCCATGACTTCCGCGAAGCAGATTACGAGCAATGCTTTGGCCATCGTCGGAAAGATGTCCTCCTTCCTCTCTCTCCTTCACGTCTCCGGCTTCCATCGCCGCCTCCTTGAAGCAGAGCCGGTCGAGCCGGCCTACCATGAAGATGGTGCGCCTTCATGGGTGTCCGACAGCGACCGCAGGATACTTCTGAGTAAAGCCACCAAGCAACTCACGCCCAATGTTACGGTCGCCAAGGATGGAAGCGGAGATTTCACCACCATTTCGGATGCACTCGCCAAGATTCCAAAGAATTATGATGGAAGGTTTGTTCTTGATCAGCCCCGACGCATTAATGCTGCAGTACTTTGATCAATAAGCTTCCGTCCTCTTAAATCAACTGATTGTATGCAAGTATACGCATGAGTAATACACACACACACATATATATGTATACATATGTATATATATAAATATATATGTATACATATATATATATATATACATATATATATACATATATATATCAGAGAAGGAATACAAGCCACTGCAACTTGAGATGGCTGTTCTTCGTGTTTGAAGGTATGTGATCCACGTGAAGGAGGGAGTGTACGAGGAGACTGTGTTGGTCGACAATTACATGGTAAACGTCACCATGTATGGCGATGGTTCAAGGAAGACAGTGGTCGCCGGGAGCAAGAACTTCATTGACGGCGTGAAGACCTTCAACACCGCAACCTTCGGTAGGTCGAAACGATCGGCGAAGGAACTATATATGTTCCACCTTGGGAGGAATAGATGAGCTGATGCCGCTGGCTTTCTCGTGTTGGCAGCTGCGGTTGCCGATGGGTTCGTGGCCATCGCCATGGGATTCCAGAACACGGCGGGCGCCGCGAAGCACCAGGCAGTGGCGCTCCGCGTGCAATCCGACCGCGCCATCTTCCTCAACTGCAGGATGGAGGGGTACCAGGACACGCTCTACGCCCACAGCCACCGTCAGTTCTACCGCGGCTGCCTCATCAGCGGCACCATCGACTTCATCTTCGGGGACGCGTCCGCCGTGTTCCAGAATTGCATCATGACCGTGCGCCGCCCCCTGGACAACCAGCAGAACATCGTCCTCGCCCAGGGCCGCAACATCCCCCAAGAGGACACCGGCTTCATCGTCCAGAAATGCCGCTTCGTCGCCGACGACGCCCTCGTCCCCGACGTCGCCAAGATCCCCAGCTACCTCGCCCGCCCGTGGCAGGAATACTCTCACACAGTCATCATGGAATCCGACATCGGAAGCTTCATCCACCCCGACGGCTACACGCCATGGAGCGGCGACTTCGCCCTGGCCACCTTGTCCTACCGCGAGTACAACAACAAAGGCCCCGGTGCTGACACCTCCAAGCGGGTGAACTGGCCAGGGTTTAAGGTCATTGGCCAGAACGAAGCCAAAGCCTACACCATTGCACCATTCATTCAGGGAGACGACTGGATCCCCAAGACGGGCACGCCTGTTCGCTTGGGTCTCTATGGCCAATGAGCACTGCACCCCTCGCTTTGCTACCTCAAATATGTGAGAGACGTCATGGAATTGATGAGGTTATTTTGTACTGATGGGATACTTGAAGGAGAAGCTGTAATGTTCCTACATCAGATGAGATCATTAAGCTTTTTGGTCATTGAATACTAGTGTCTTTAACGA